GTGGGGGACAAGCATGGGGGGCAAGCGTGGGGGACAAGGAAAAGTGGAGTGGGGACACGCGTGAGGAATAAAGAGTGGGAGCGAAAAATATTCAAGCACGGTAAAAAATTAGGTGCTCACAAAAGTCATGAATGAGTTGACAATAAAGAGGAGTGTAATGAGATCGGCGAAGAAACACAAAGAAACGATCATTTGAACCCAATGGCATAGCCAGTAAATTTAAAATATTAAGAGTGTTATAACTGAGATTTAAACTTACAATATGAAGCAATCTTTGAACCATTTTTACCCCTATACACAAGAAGTCTCCCTTGTGTTAACGGGATTAAACTATTTATATATTCAAATAATTCGGGTCTATACAGAGGTGAAGTGACACTTTACCTAGGCCATGATTCTTATTTATCTTGTACGTGTTATTAGATTTCTGCCCTTTTTCTCTTCATCCCTGTCCTCCCATTTAATCTTTTTCAGTTTTTGCATAAAGTTTCAGTTGTGTATTACAAAAAAAAATAAAAATAAAAATTAAAACTCAGTGTAATCTCACAAATGAGGTTTGAGAAGTGTAGAGTGTAAGCAGATCTTATCCTTACCTTGTGAGGGTAGAGAAGTTGTATCCGATAGACCCTTTGCGTATTAAGTACTAATTTTGAAACTATTTGAGATACATTGTTGACTTGTACAAATTTATGGATTCAAAAGTAAACAAAGCATGCAGTTGACTGAGAGACTACATCCTTTGAGCAGCCGTTTGGCAGGAGGTATAAGAATAGTGCTGAATAGAGTATGTTAGCAATGCCGGTATTACTAATGCTGGAATTAGTTATGCTGACATTAGTTATGCTGAGATTATTTCTTACCTGCTGTTAGGTTTGTTGTATTAAAGCATTGCATAATTTCTACAAAATTTAGTATTTTCAAAAATACCCTCCACCTTCTTTAACTTTGTACACTTTGAGGGATTTGAGGGGCAATTATATCTTTAACCATGCTTATGCAAGTATTAAAAACTCTTGCATTGCTAATACCATAGCTGTGCTATGTATTAGTTATATATAGGATAATACCAAATAGGATAATACTTGTACTGTTACACATATAGTTAAAAAAATATACCAAACAAGGGATTAGTAATGCATAAAGCTAAAGGTTGCATTATTTTTTCTAATATCTCCTAACAAACGACCCCTTATAGTTAAATCAAAACCAGACACAAAGTGATTCACATCAGTTCAGTAAATATATTTCTAATACAAAGGAAAATGCAGGTTCAGGTCATTAAACATTTGGACTTAGATACATATATGTTAGCATGTTAAACAATTTTGAAACTCAAACTGCAAACTTGAACTTGAATCATCTTAATACATGTGCAAAAAACCACGGCTAAACTCATCCGAATCTCCTCTAACAGGCATTCCATGTCTGTCCAATTGACCAGAACCCGGATACACGCCTTTGCTAGTGAAGTTGGTACAATAAGTAGAACCATTTTGCAAGTTAGATCTTGAGTACCTCTTATCATACTGAGGTCTTAGTTTTGGTGCACTCATAGACCGCGTCTTTGCCTTAGCTGCCTCGGTATAAGACATGTAGTTTGGATGATTACTCGAGTAGCTTCTTGTACCATCGGTACTCTTAGTTGGCGTAAATGGCCCTCTCCTCGAACAAGCACATTTCGATGATACTGAGTGAAGTTGTGGGCTATTGTCAGCAGAGGAGAAACAGGTTTCATCCAAGCTGTAACTTAATTGGTCTGAATTTAAGCTAAGATCAGAGGAATAGAAGAGATTCTTCTGTGTGGAAGTGATATATGGTCTTCCATTATCTATTTCAAGGATCTTGCCAATATCATCAATTGAGCCACTTCTTGCAAAAGAGCCTTGTTTTTTATCCATTCTGCAGCTTATATGGTTTGAAGAATTCCTCTGCATTAATACCATTTTATGTTAGGCATAAATTTATGCAAATAGATAATGGGGAAAACGTCCAAATTTACCTCTATAGCATGTGAAACACAATAGCATACCTAGTATATTCCAACAATGTTGAGTATGAGAGGGTAATGTGTACGCATACCTTGCTCCTACCTTGCAGAGTTAGAGAGATTGTTTCCGATAGACCCTCGACTTAGGAGAAGCAATTCACATCAGGTCTCTAGCATATGCAATATTTTAATTTTATCTGCCGTTATATGGGTTCGAGCTGTGGAAACAACCTCTTGCAGAAATGCAGGGTAAGACTGCGTACAATAGACCCTTGTGGTCCGGCCCTTCTCCGGACCCCGTGCATGACGGGAGTTTAGTGCACCGAACTGTTTTTTTTTTTTTTCCATATCCTTGTCATTAGCAAGTCGTCTCATACTTGCCCATGACCGTAACATGGCTCTATCATGGATTGGTTGTATTCCACATGTATGGAAAAAGGTCCAAACTTATCTCACTAATCATCACTCTAGTCTAAAGTTATCTTCCATTATATTTCAGGTTGGAATTCCGTAAAGATTAAGGATAAATACGAGGCGATTTGCCAACAAGAACAGTATGAACGACATCAAAGTATAACGGAAGAAAAAGAGAGATATTTTCGACTGTTTTCCCTAGATAATGAGTTTCCTGAAGCATAAAATATCCGGCCAATACCTTGAGCATAAACATTTGATCATTCTTCATGCTCTTTGCACGACTAACATGCTCGAATTTATCAGGAGTTGCAGGTCCCTATACATCAAGATTCAGAAATACAATTATTAAACCAGGACAAAATCTTTGCAAAACTAAAAATTTACCTTAATTAGTTGACAATTACTACAACTTATTACTAATTAGCATATTTCAAGCTTCATTTCAAATTTGAAAATGGTGGGAAGGTGATATTTCACTTACATGATCAAGAAATTGAATAAAATTGGCGCTAAAATGAGGCGATTCTGAAACCTGAGATCGTCCAACACGAGCTCTCGACTGAGCTCTTATTAGTGCTTGCATACGCCGTAACATATCAACAGTTTGCTTCCTCACAATATGACCTCTTACTAATGCCTGAAGCTTCACAAGTCCCTTCAGTGCTCTTAATGCTCTCCTGGACTTCAAATTTACCCAAAAATCGAAACAATTAGTAAACTAGTAATACGATCAAGTGCCATTACTGTGGTCTGCGGAGGCACATACATGATTCAGAGTCAGAAAGTTCAGAATGAGTGTGATTTTATTATTTGTACAAACTTTAATGTTTTCTATATACACGTACATGTAGTTTGAATAAAAAGGCGAAAACAATGAGTTTAGTTATACATACAAAAACTATTTTAGGTCCGCCCCTGCTTAGGAGACTTAGTGTAATATGATATCAAGTGACATTAAATTTAGGTATTAGGTTGTCGTATCAAGAGAAAATAATAAGTTCCATTAAGAAATTGAGTTGTCTTGGGTTTAGTTAAAACATAAAAAAATTGTTCTACGCTGCATGTAGCCGACCTTAACTGTTTGGGACTGAGACCTAGTTGTTATTTTTATAGATGAATGATTTTCTATGGAACTTGGAATAAAAAGAACGAAATTTTTTCAAAAGTGATAGGCCCCCTAATCATTCATTTTCACACTTATCTAAAGTCTAAGTTTGACGGTTTCGGAAAATTAGGACAGATGACCATTAACCAAACCTTGACCAATGTCTTTGTATTACATTAAGTTGGGACATATACTTATAGGTAATTCTTATATTCAAATTCAGCAAAGTGATTCTTATATTCAAATTCAGCAAAGTGGTCCATTAAAACTTTCTCCGGATCAATACTAAATATTTATATCAAATCAATGAATATATACGATTTGTTTTTAAATATATTTTTATTACTTATCATGGCTAATTACTAAATACTTATCTTAATTTATTACTTAACTATATATTAATGGAATTTGATATAAACATCTGATAAGGATGAATTTTTCGATGCTTATTCTGTACTTTTGATCAAACTAAACAACTTTTCTTTTTCTCTTTGTTTCTGATTCTTTTTCTATGATAAGTTTAAAAGCAACAAAAGAGTACCCATTGCCAAATTCGGGTAACATTAACCTAGCGTTTGACCATAGATTCCTAAATTTATTTTGAAAAATCTGTTTTGGGTGAAATTTGGCTTGAAAATGAAAATGTGTTTTAACATACGTTTTCAAAATATATTTCCCAAATTTATTTTGGAAAAACATGTGTATTATTAGGGATTTGGCCCAAAACCAGTTATTGGGATTTGGGATTTTGTCAAAATATAGGCAAAATCTATGGCCAAACATGTATTTGCCAAATAAAACCCAAATTTATTTTGGCAAAATCTATGACCAAACGGGTACTAAATATGGTCATCAAAAACAGTCCCGTGTGAGCTTTCTATAGCCTGTAGCAGTACTTCCCAAATTTCATAAATGCTTCACACGTAAAAATTTACTTGAACTTGGTGTTTACACCAAATGAATAATATAATTATTTTATATAATTTAATATAAATACTGAGTGCTGAAAGTATTAAATTTTATATATTCCCAGTACCAAATTTCTATCTTCTAACTAAAACATAATTACACTTATTACCCAAAATTTATTTACACCTTCAGTGTATATGAGTTAACTCTACAAGAAAAGGCTAATAACTCCCTCTTGTTATGACTATACATATATTTCTCGAAGTACAAAGATCAATGAATGAAACTCCAAAACTCTGCAGTTTGCACCGACGACAAAAGTTTCTAGTTTTGGATATTTAGGTCCACACGGGTCCAAACTAGTCTACTTTCCTCTTCTCTACTGTATACATTTCACACCAGAAACCTACCCCTACCCACCCCCGTGGGCCTACCCCTACAGCCCAACTCCCAAAAAGAATTTTAAGAAAAGAATTTTTTGGAATTTAAACTCTAATCTCTCATGGTTTTTGTTTTATTTCATTGACTGTCAATTCACTCTGGCCCCATTAACATTATGTGTCTGTTAAATCCATTAATTGTTACATTAAAATATTAGTCGTAAGAGGAGACTTCTTGCCGTAAATTTGGATTTAGCCGGACACCAACGGTTATATTGAACATTGACAAAAAGAAAGGTAATCGTCCCTTTCATGAAGACTAGTAAAATTCCAATTTCTTTGTCTAGTAACAAAACCTTCTACACCTTTTTCACCGTTCACAAATTACGAGAAATTATTCCTATCAAGAATATTGGTGGAATTCACAAAATGGAAAAGAAAAAAAAAGAGTGGATTACCCCTCCATTTTATTTTATGTGAAAATGTTCAAAACATGAGGCTCGAATACTTTAATTTCCAATGTGAATTGAGCATATTTAAAATATATANAAAAATAGCTAATTTGACATGAAATGAGACAAAGAGAGTACTATATAACTAACCAGATAAGCTCGGAAATATGATTGTATCACGACGGCAGGCCATTCTTCACGATTAAAACCGACACCGTTCCACGTCGTCACCGCTGTTGTACCACCGTTACTAGCTGTCAGCTCCACCACCTCTTCTACCGTGACGGGGCTGTTGGTGGGGTCCACTGCACAAAGGCATATGTAGCATATAGTATAATTTAACTGAACTAGTGTTTACGTAGAGATATATGCTTTTTTTGTTCCAATTTATGCGGGTTTATGATATGTGGTTTTACAAGTATAAAAACATTACATTAAAAGTAAAATAAAAAAAATCTAATGTTACATTATCTCCAAGTATATATAAAAATGTCACGTCTTTTCTGAACTCATAATTGTAAGAACGTACGAAGATTGAACTTACTAAATTTAAATCCTGAATCCATCTCCGTTATTACTACGTCATTTCTACCGTGAACTGACGTAGAGACACCGTAGTGATGTGATCTATCAGGGTGGTGATCATGGTGGCGCTGTTGAAAATCCTTATCTCTGTAGGATTTAACGTCACTCCATTTCTTTTGTAGTGATGAAAAAGAAGAAGAAGAAGAGTCAGTTTTCCTGAAAATGAAGAGTGCTTTGAACCATTTGGATGCTTTGCCCATATTGTTTAAAATTAAAGATGAAAATTTAAAGAGGTTTATCACATAAGGGGACTAAAGTAAGAAAGGGAGGGAAAGAAGAAGAAGAAGGAGAGTGGTTGGGAATGAGAGAAGATTTGTGAAAGTTTTGAGAAGTCAAATGTAATGTGCTATCCCGTAGGACATTGGGATAATATGTATGACTTCTTCTTCTTTAGATCACTAAAACTTTATATATTTTGCCCATTAAAAAAACACTACTTATGTAGAGGATATATATTTATATTTGTGGTGTATTTTAACGTATTATATTTTTGAGGTTTCTAATGGTATTTCTTATGGATTATATGTAGTTATAGATGACTTGATAGAGTAAATATTTATATTATGATCATCATACGGAATTTTATGTTATACCAGTCGTATTAGTATTATTCTCGAATTTTCTTATTTTTTGATTCCTATTACTATATGTTGTTTCTTTTGCTTCGATTACTTTATTATCTTGTTGTTGTTACTGCTTCTTTTTTATGGCTTCTCCACTATTGTATTTTTTTCCCAAAACTATTGTGATTATGCTATAATTTCCTTGAGTTGTAGGTCTATCAGAAACAACTTCTCTACTTTCACAGAGTAGGGGTAAGGTCTGTGTACATACTAACCTCCCCAGATTCATTTGTTGATTACACTGGGTATATTGTTATTGTTGTTGTTAGCGTATAGAAATTTAAACTCTAAGAGGTTGTTTGGTTCACAAACAAGTTATACAGGGATTATCACGTGGAAATTAATAATCATTAAATTATATAGTGTATATGCATTTCTTGTTGCATGTTTGGTTTGTCATATTTCAAATTAGATATTGTTTACCCTAAAAAATGGATAACAATTGAATTTATATGTGATTTTAAGGATATGTGGATTAATTCAATATAAGTGATTAATGACGTTAGATTAAAAAAATGAAAGACATAATAAATGACAAAATCAATGATAAGGGTGATTCCGAGCTCGGTTAATGGCTCAATGAGGAACCTACCTTCGATTCCAAGCTTGCACTTATGAAGAACTTAAGAACAAAAATAAGAACTTTGAACAACAAAGAGATTGAAATAAACTACCTTGATATGCATGTTATCATGTTTGTCATGAATAATAAGCTCCTCCTTTATATAGTAGGGAAGTTTTGCCCCAAGTACAATTCTAAGAAAGGTAAAAATCTTCTATTTTGCTAATCACTGATTTTCTGCCGATACAGGCCGAGATTCATGTCGTGATATCTGGTTGGGCACGGACATCACGCCCCTTTGTTAGTAGTGTGTAGTTGTTTGATAATGCTCTCCGAAGTCGCGATCCTCGAACCGGACCCGGAGGACATGGCCCCGATACCCCCGATACCCCCGAGGGCAGGTGTTTTGCCCGAGCCCCGATACGAGAGGCTCCTCGCTCTGACTCTGATTCATTACGGTCACGTTCCTGCTCCGTGTGCCTCATAGAGAAATCGGGGTATTCAGTGGGCTCGGTTTTACCCATATACAGATAGTCCCCTTGTCTCTCAGAGTAGGCTTTCTGAAACGATGGGAAACGACAGATGACTCCAGTTCCTTCCTTCGTAAGTTACGACGAGGAAGTCAAAACATCCTATTAGTCGCGTCGTTCTGACTTCGGACACGTGTCGCTCACCGACAGGTTACCCCCGAATGTGAAGCGTCGACTGTTTCCCTATAAAATCTTCCTCCTTTTGTCCTTTTTCTACTTTTCGACTAAATCACTACCTTCGAGCTTTCCAGTCATCATCAAACCTTCTTCAACCCTTCATATCTTCATCCTTGTTCTTCAATTTCTATAGTAATCTCCGGATTTTTTCCCAGATTTTCTTCAAATCTTCATACTCTGTTCTTTATCTTCAAAACCCGTTTTCCAAAACTTTGCTTTCTTTCCTCAAATTTCAAACACTCCCCCAGATGACAATGGCCAAAACATCAAAAATCGTTCCTCAACAAGTAGTCTCTTCATCTTCTCAACCGACCGCTGGTACTGAAGCGGTTGCCCCTGAGGTGGTAGCCCTCAAAACGGCTTCCCCCGTTGTGGCTACTAACGAACCGGCCACCAAGCCTCCCTTGTCAACGTTCATTCCCGGGGGCTTCTCAATTGCAGATGACTTTAAAGTCGAGAATCCCTCGCGTAAACAGGACCGTGGAAAAAGAGTCTCGAGGTACATATGTTTTGTGACTGATGATGTTCTTCCCATAGTTCGTAAGGACTGCAATTGGGAAGGCAAGAACATAGTAGTCCCCCGGCATGAGGACATTGTTACTACCCATGTGGAGGGATACTTAAGTGTTTACACTTATCCCTTCACACTGGTCCCGATAGACCCGATCATTCTAGACTTTTGCAAGAGGTACGAGGCACGTCTCGAGCAAATCCACCCATCGTTGTGAAGGATCGTGACCCTCTTCCGCTACTTCATGAACAAGACTGAATATCGTCAGTTCATGATTGACCACCTGCTTCGATTATACAGTCCCCGGATGTTCCGAGGGGGACTGATCAAGCTTACTCTCCGGGCCAGCAAGGCCTCCTTTTTGAGTATCGATGAAGACCGAGACCGGGGCTGGCAGAGATGATTTGTCCGAGTGAAAAACGAGAATATTATCCCCTCGGAATACATGCCATTCCCTAAGAAGTGGAATGTATCTCGTAAGTGCAATTCTCTCTTTAAACATCAAAATTCTTTTTCTTCAATTTCTATCTTCTCATTCATGCTTATGGTTGTACAGTTGTCACCCGGGTTCCAAATGCGGTTCCCCGATTAAAGGAGTGGATCGAGGGCATATGTACTTAGATATCGTACTTCGAGCGCACATGGTGCGAAATTTCGAAGGGCCGATGAGAGGCCCGTTCTCATGGTGAGGCCTCTTTTTGAGTATCCAATACTTTGCTTCCACCTTTTATTATACTAAGTCCTCTTCCCTTTTTGTTATTGAAGGTTTGCCTAAGACCACCAAACTTAGGACCTCGGAAGGGGATGAGGATGTGTCTCCGCCCGTTGGTCCCTCCGTTGCTTCCACAGAGGGAAAAAAGAAGAGGAAGAGAAAACCATCGGGCTCCGAGGTGAAGAAGCCAAAGAAATAGGTGCTCCACAAGCCTAGGAGGGGCTCCAGCTCCCCGGTGCTGGACTCTGACTCTCTCCTCTGCCTCAGGGACGAGTCAGAGGATGAATCTATTTTTGTTACCCACGAGACAACCTATCCCGGGGACTCGGATGCATCCGAGAGGGAGACTCGTGAGATCGACCCCCCTCAAACTCAAAAGGCCGATGTGGATACCCGGGGTGAAACTTCCCAAGATGCCTGCTCCGCTCCAAAGGAAGCGCCCGACATAATCAAGATCTCGGGGTCACCCTCCTACACTGATTCCATGCTCGAGGAGGCCCAAGCGATAAAGGAGAAGTCCAACGAGGGGGTCCATGGTGTGGAAGATCCCCTTCACTTCTTTTTCGACGGTGTGGACTCGACTGATTTGGAAGACTTCTCTGGGATGGGAGACCTGAATGTTCCGAAGAAGGACACATCCTTGAAAGCAGGTAGGCCAAGCTCGAGCTAGAAATTGATCGATCAGTTCCCTGCTCCGAGTGTGGACTCCGGGCACAAGAGATTGATTATACTGACTGTCCTGGAGGATTCCCGGGTTTTGTCCGCTCCTGTGGGGGTAGCTAGCTACCTCCGGTGCCTGGTGACCGAGGAGGATTAGGAAAAAATGAATGAGGTAAGCGTGCCATGCCTCTTTAATGAGGCATTAGGCGCTGAACCGGGTAAGACATTGTTTCTTTCCATTGATCTATTGTTATCTTTGTTTGATATTTCTCACGTTTTTCATCCCTTTCGCAAGCCGATGTTGAAGCAGCCGAGACCCGCCTGAAGACTACTACTGAGTATGTGAGGCGGCTATCCCGAAGGGAGACCCTCGAAGAAATACATGCCCAAGGCTTCGACCAATCTGCCGTGATCGAGGAGGCAAAAAGACTCGAGGTCGAGGCCAAGAAGCTAGCTGAACCCCGAGGTGAAGAGGACTCTGAAGAATCTGAAGGCCCCGACTATTCTGGTGACGAGTCGGCTGCCGGTAAAGACCAGGTGTAGACGCCTTAGGATTTTCTTTTATTTTTGTATCCTGTACATATATTTTGTTGAGGCCGTTTTTATCGTGCCTTTGTAAAGATATTCCGAAATATATAAAAAATTTCCCTTTCGAAAATTTACAAGTTTATTATCTTGCATCTTTTTACGATTGAAAACATTTCTAATGCCTTAGCACGGAATGAAACATAGTAATAAGTCATTTTTCGAAGGTCCGAACAAGACCTGTCCTCGATGTAATTTTTGCTCTAAATTTGTGGATACTCGGAGTGACCAAAAATTTCCCCAAGTCTCTTACTTAAATGTTTTAGACTATATCTTTGCCGAGAGTAACCTTTGAACAGGTTTAGAATTTTGTTGAAGGCCTTATGTTTTGATTATGGGTTTCAGATGACTCCGAACTGTTTTTAGGGTGGCCGTATCCTTGTAGGTTTAGGCACTGCCTAATAGGCTTTGTGCCTCCGGATGTCGATAACCCGAGCCGCCTGAACTTATTTCAGACGACAGTCCCCGAATGGGGGTAGTCCTTTGGGCTCGGATAGGGGTGTCCCTTGGGCTTGATAGTCCCCAGGTAGGAATAGCCCTTAGGCTCGATACTTTTAATAAACAAAAGTGCGTATTAGCAAGATGGAAACTTTCTTTCATTTTTGTGTGTAATGTACAAGATTGTGAGCGTGTAAAAGCTAAAAGCTCGTATTATGGCTAAGGTAGCCTACGCGGGCACGGTTCACTTGACCATTTGGTTTTTATAATAAATCCTAACTACCGAGCCTAGACTGTTCAAGCACAAAATTTCCTTCCTTAAAAATCTTGACCCAAAGGTGATTACCCCCAATATTCGAGGTCGATCTCGATAGGGCTCAGATACTGTTGATGCGACCATTGACTCCGATTTAAAACCGGTCTTCGATTCTAAGTTAGCACGATGTACTGTTAACTTATTAAAAACCTTGCAGGAAAACCCATTTGGGACAAAATCGGTTCTAGGGAAAAAGAGTGCAATGC